TGAGGTTTTGATGATTTAAAGAAGATCTCACGTAGTTCAGTTAGTATTATGTGGCAGTGATAATAAAGGAGGATACCAAGAAAATGGCCGCGGTTAGAATAAGGGAGATCTTCAACAAAATGGCGCGGTTACCGCTGAATACATACATGGCGGGCCGCGATTGACGTCAACGAATAGGTCCAGTATAAAGAGAGGAACTGCGCTCGTAATGCGATACCCCGAGGAAGTCACGAGCAGACGGTGACGTAACGCTTAGGTTCGTGAGTCCGCAGTTCGGTGCGTGGTGACGCACTTCCGGCGTGTGACGCCATCTTGCTACACCCAGGAAGTCCCATACACATGCAGTGTACCCACACATCGGTGAGGAGGGAGGACTGCTAGGAATTCGTGAGTGTTATTCCTCAAATCTTTTAATAAAGGAGTCGTTTTTTGAAGTACTACACTTAGAGGGTCTTTCTTTCTGGGCTCACTGGATTGGTGAGCCATTGTCCTTCAGAGATACCTTGGCTGATCAGGTGAAATAAAAGCCCCCTTAAGGAGATCCATGGAAGAAAGGAAGCTGCTGACCTTTATGAGTTAAGGATCCAGGGTGATCCTGCAAGCCTGTTGGCCCCTAGGAGTCACTGGGAGGAGGTGAGGAGGCAATCTAGCCGCCAATAGGAGAAGATTTTTGGGCACAATCACGAATTGGTCAATTACCACTACACATTGCATGATTATGTTTATCACTAAAAAGACATATTTTTGATCGAATTTTGAAAGAGTGGTCACTTTTTTGCACTGTTTTGGCACTAGCACTTTAAGATTTATTACAATCTTGTTATTAGCTCATTCAGTAGGAGAGTGAGCATGGTATTCAATTTTTTAGACACTTGGTATATTTATTTATTCAGAGTGTGAACATGCATGTTCAGTATGGAACACATTTATTTATTATAAGTTTGACACTATATATATATTTTTCACTATTGTTATAAAGTGTTTGATTGTATGAATTGAGATCATTATATGAATTGGTCACTGATATATTTTTTAGTATTTATTGATTGGTCACGTATTTTTTAGTATTTTTTTTTTTTTTTTATGAGCGCCACACTATTTATTTATGTTATTTACACTGTTTTAGGTATCAGTTGGTGAGTGTTGGCAGCTTTAAGTTAGTCTTTATTTCCATTTATAGCGCAGGAGGACCTTTGATTACTTAATCAGCGACATATGGCGGCGATCAGAGACTTATGGTGGGACTGCGGGACTGCGGCGGACATTTTGACACTGGGGGGGAACTGACTTGGGGTCACTGACATCCCCAGTGACACCAATACAGTGATCAGTGCAAAAAAACCCCACTGACACTGTACTAATGTCACTGGGGAGGAAGGGGTTAACATATTTTAGTGTTCACTGTGTGAGGGGAGTGTTTTACTAGGGGGCAGGGGTGTGTACTGGACAGGGGGGGGGAGGGAGGGGGGAGCTGATCGAGGGAGAGAAACTCTTCTCTCCCTCTTCATCTTGTCGGGGAACTGTCACAGAGCAGGGCTGTGTGTAAACAATGCAGCTCTGTTCTGTGTCAGTGATCACAGCTCATCAAGGGAAAATGGCCGGTCAAAACCGGCCGTGACCCGGCGGCGGCGGAGACCCGCTGCTGACACCCGCGGGACAGGCAGGGCGGGGCGCGCGCGCCTCACGCGCGCCCCTACCTGTTTTGCAGAACCACGTTTTAAAACGTGGTTTTGCCTACGAGTGCCGCCTTGCCGCCGTTTATATGCGGTGGCTGGGCGGCAAATGGTTAATATTGCGCTTCTGGTGAGTGCAATCATATTACCAGTTCCTATCAGGGATATCACTAGCACGGATTCCACAGAATTGTGGACTTTAATTTACGTTGCTGATTATATGTCAGATTATTTCATCAAACACTAAAAGTCACTCTTTTATCTATAGATTTATTCACATATTTATTCGTCAGGAGCTGACAGGGGAGAGAACTGTATTGTTTACTAACAGTTCTCCCCCCCCCCCCCCGCCTTCCCCGTCGCAGATGCTTGGCAATCACAGGATGCCGGCAAGTAATCACCGGCCGGGACCCAGTGATTGACAGCCGAGGCTGCGAATGGTGGCGTGGGCCCCCTACCCGGAACTGCAAAATCATATATACGTGATTTTGCGCACCCGTGCCGCCCTGCAGCAGTACTTCTGTTACCGGGCGGACGGGAAGCGGTTAACACAGAATAATATATATAGTAGGGTATGCAGCGCTGTAGGATGATAAGGTGTATAATATTATGATACATAGATCAACCACATATCACTAGATCAACATATAGCAGTCCTTATATTGAGACTCATACATCCAGATGATCAGGAAAAGTAGCACTTATAGTGATAAGTTCATAAAACAATTGTAGCCGATATATAAGAAGATATATAATACACCAGTTGATATCAGAAGCAATTGGTGCTTGGTGCGTTCCAAATCCAGTTCATATTTTCAGAAAATCTAGTGCAATTATGCGCTTACCACAGGAACATACAAACTGAGCGTTGTATGTATGACATCGAGTACATCGTCGGTGGACATCAGGGCCCCATCAGCAGTTAAGACAGCATCCGGCCATCGGGGATGGTGAATCTCACTCGGGGGTCATCTCAGTCTCCCTGGTAGGTCCAGCAAAGCTCAGACTCCTAGTAGCACTCTTCCAAAAACGCTCCACCTTGCAAAGCTGCCAGGAGAAGAAGCGCCGCTGCTGTGCTGTCGAGGAGAAGCCGCCTCCTCACACCATTCAGGCAATGGTGTCGAGAAGCGTCTTTCGGCCCTGGCGAGGCGGGGGGGCTCGTCTTCATTCCCCTTCCCCCACCCCCCACGGGGGAACTCGGCGGGGCAGGCCCGGTAGTGACGGTTAGTCTCGGCTCTCCGTGGGGTTTTTTCTGAGGTGTTGGGGACGAGGGGGGGGGCGGCTGGTAGGAGTCAGCCAGGGAACTCAGAGGCTCCTGAGCGCGCTCCGTGCACGAAGCTCCTGAGCCCCCTGCATAGCCATTCTCTGGGAAGATCAGTGTACTGCTGTTTCTCCAACCCCACCTCTCTAAGCCCCTTACACACAAATGAGAACAGAGTTCATGTGATCACTTCTAAAAAAAGAAAAATATTTATATATATATATTTATATATATATATATATATACAGTTGCAAGAAAAAGTATGTGAACCCCTTGGGATTACGTGGAGTTTTGCATGAATTGGGCATAAAATGTGCTCTGAACGTCATCGAAGTCACAACAATAGAAGAACACAGTCTGCTGAACATAATACTACACAAACATTAGATGTTGCCATGGTTTAATTGCACATAACATGTAAACATTCACAGTGCAGGGAGGAAAAAGTATGTGAACCTTTGGACTTAATAACTGGTTGACCCTCCTTTGGCAGCAATAACCTCAACCAAACGTTTCCTGTAGTTGCAGATCAGACCTGCACAACGATCTGGAGTAATTTTGGACCACTCCTCTTCACAAAACTGTTTCAGTGTAGCAATATTCTTGGGATGTCTGGTGTGAATCGCTCTCTTAAGGTCATGCCACAGCATTTCAATCGGGTTGAGGTCAGGACTCTGACTGGGCAACTCCAGAAGGCGTATTCTGTGCTGTTGCAGCCATTGTTCTGTTGAATTACTTGTATGCTTTGGGTCATTGTCCTGTTGCATCACCCATCCTCTGCGGAGCTTCAGTTGGTGGACAGATGGTCGTACGTTTTCCTGAAAAATGTCTTGATAAACTCTGGAATTCATTTTCCCATCAATGACAACAATCTGTCCAGGCCCTGAGGCAGCAAAGCAGCCCCAAACCATGATGCTCCCTCCGCCATGTTTTACAGTGGGGATGAGGTTTTGATGTTGGTGTGCTGTGCCTTTTTTTCTCCACACATAGTGTTGTGTGTTCTTCCCAAACAACTCAATCTTGGTTTCATCTGTCCACAGTATATTTTGCCAGTAGTGCTGTGGAACATCCAGGTGCTCTTTTGCACACTTCAAACGTGCTGCAATATTCTTTTTGGACAGCAATGGCTTCCTCCGTGGTGTCCTCCCATGTACTCCATTCTTGTTTAATGTTTTCCTTATTGTAGATGTGTTAACAAAAATGTTAGCATGTGCCAGAGATTTCTGTAGGTCTTTAGCTGACACTCTGGGATTCTTCTTTACCTCATGCAGCATCTGCGCTGTGCTCGTGCAGTCATTTTTACAGGACGACCATGCCTAGGGAGAGTAGCAACAGTGCTAAACTTTCTCCATTTGTAGACAGTCTGTCTTACCGTGGACACATGGAACATCAAGGCTTTTGGAGATACTTTTGTAACCCTTTCCAGCTTCATGCAAGTCAACAATTCTTTTTCGTAGGTCTTCTGAGAGCTCTTTCTGCGAGGCATGGTTCACATCAGACCAGTGCTTCTTGAAACCAGTAAACCCAAAACAGGTGTGTGTTTTTTAAGGGCAGGACAGCTGTCAGCAACACATCCAATATCACCACACTGATTGGAGTCAAGGTGGCTCACTCCTGGCTCCAATTAGCTCTGGGGGAAGTCATTAAGCTAGGGACTCACATACTTTTTCCTCCCTGCACTGTGAATGTTTACATGTTATGTGCAATTAAACCATTGGCAACATCTAATGTTTGTGTAAGATTAGTATTATGTTCAGCCAGACTGTGTTCTTCTATTGTTTGTGACTTAGATGACGTTCAGAGCACATTTTATGCCCAATTCATGCAAAACTCCACGTTAATCCCAAGGGGTTCAACATACTTTTTCTTGCAACTGTATATATATACACACACACACACACACCATATTTTTTCACTCAATAAGATTGCACTTTTTCCCCCCAAAAATGGGGGAAAATGTTCTGTGCATCTTATGGAGTGAATATGGAGTGGCTGGCCCAGTATTCCCACTGCCGCTGTGTCATAATACCAGGCCAGCCGCTCGGCTGTTCTCTGCAGCAGAACCTTACCTGTTCCTCACGGTCCAGTGCTGTCCTCACTTTCTTCTCTCCGGCATCTTTGATGTGGGCACCTCCGATGTGACACAGCTTGCTGCTTCACAGCCGGGTGCCCACTTCGCATGCGCAAGAAGCGTTGCACTTTGTGAATGGTCCGGCAGTCTTCTGGGACCTGTCATGTGTCCCAGAAGACAGGGAGGGGATGAAGTGGGAGCGGATACCTGTCAAAATTTGGGTAACCGCTCCCCCCTCCCTAAAGGTCCACAGTCTCTGGTCATCCCCTGTAACTATGTCCGCAGTCTCTGGTCATTTCCTGTACTATGTCCGCAGTCTCTGACAGTCTCCTGTACTGTGTCCGCAGTCTCTGGTCATCTCCTGTACTATGTCCGCAGTCTCTGGTCATTTCCTGTACTATGTCCGCAGTCTCTGGACAGTCTCCTGTACTGTGTCCGCAGTCTCTGGTCATCTCCTGTACCATGTCCGCAGTCTCTTTTCATCTCCTGTACTATGTCCGCAGTCTCGTGGTCATCTCCTGTACTATGTCCGCAGTCTCTGGTCATCTCCTGTACTACCTATGTCAGCAGTCTCTGGTCATCTCCTGTACTGTGTCCGCAGTCTCTGGTCATCTCCTGTACTGTCCGCAGTCTCTGGTCATCTACTGTACTATGTCTGCAGTCTCTGGTCATCTCCTGTACTATGTCCGCAGTCTCTGGTCATCTCCTGTACTATGTCTGCAGTTTCTGGTCATCTCCTGATCTCCTGTACTATGTCTGCAGTCTATGGGAGTTGGTTCAGAATTTTTTTTTTCTTGTTTTCCTCCTCCAAAAACCTAGGTGTGTCTTATGGAACGAAAAATACGGTGTATGTATATATATATACTATATATATATATACATACACACAAATGTTTTGGTGCTCATTCCTATTTTAACCTGAATGGGTTTGCTTTACAAGGTGAGGGTTCACATATACTTTAACTTGCTGGCTTGTCTTGGTTGGTGGTCTGATATAAGCATCAAAGGTAAGATCGCAGAGCAAAACAAGAAGCACACATGCAGGTTTGTAGGTCAAGCTATATGTTTTTATTTCTACGTGTGGTTTTATTTAAAGTTCAACTGCTTTTTCAGTGCAGCAACACTTGTTCCCAGCATTCCTCCTTGTCTTCCACTAACCCATCCCTGCACATCTGGGATTTTCCTGTCAACTTGACTGAACAGATCATAAAATTTGTAGCTTATCCACTCGTTATATGAAAATAAGCTGCAAATAAGTAGCAAAAGAATATTGTTCACTCCCACATCTCAGCCAGCTTAGAAAGATCAAGCATCACACGTGGCACAAAACACACAAATTTGTTACACATAAGATGTTTGATCTCTTTAAAACTGTCTGAGATGCGGATATGAGCGATATTTCTTGTTCTACTTATTTGCGCTCCACCCATCCCATGCAAAACAAGTTACACATGCGATACTCATTCCGGACTCCATCAGCTCACATGAGCCATTAAAAAGAAGTTTTAGAAATTGCCCTCCATCAATCCACAATGCTTCAACAACTTTAGAGAAAATCAAGTGGGTAGAAGCAATCATCCTCACAGGCTGTCTTCCTCTGCCCGTGCCTTGTCCCATAGGTGGATGTAGCATCAGCCAGATAAGAGAAACTGAGTGATCAAGATCATTCAGTTCTTGGACAGTGAGTAGAGAGCCATGGACTGTCAGCCTCTGGCTCTCTGTTCTGCCCCACATGCAAAAAGACAGAGAGATGGTGCAAAAGCCTAGTGCATTACCTTAAAAAATTGGTTTATTGTATAAAAATGTGAATCACTCACAAAAGAAAAAAAAATGCATTAAGGTAATGCACTAGGCCTTTGCACCCTCTCTCTGTCTTTTTACATGTAGTTTCATTTTGGATTTCCCTGGTCCGTTGAGGGCAGCAAGGCGTGCATTCCATTAGGCTATCCATGCATGGTTTCAGTCACTTCGGAGTCCATCGTCCAGCGCAGGAGTACAAGCATTTGCTTGTTCTTCTCTGTTCTGCTCCCCCTGGGAGGCATTGCAGTTCCCAGGCTGTGGAGGGGGTGGGAACGGCTGGCTCAGGCTCTCAGGGGCATGCTAAGAGATTTAGCCAGCTGCTAGTCATTCACCTGGGTGGAATCCTAGACAATATGGTCAGAATCTTTCCAGAGACTGGATCGGCTGAAACAAAGTGCACTCTTGTGAGCAAAAGTTCTGGCCTACTTTTTCTTTAATAGCAGAAGACACGTAATCCAGGACTGTCCTTTGCATTTATTAGGTTACGGAGCAGTCCACCAAGATACTTGCAAAAGATGACAAAATCCAGCAGAATATTTGTAATTATTACAATGAATGGCATCCCTCAGAATCCCATTTAACCACTTGAGCTCCTGAGGATTTACCCCCCTTAATGACCAGGCCTCTTTTTGCTACTACGGCGCTGCACTAATTCAACTCGATAATTGCGCGGGTCATGCAATGCTGCACCCAAACGAAATTTACGTCCTTTTTTTTTCACACAAATAGAGCTTTCTTTTTGGTGTAATTTGATCACCTGTGCACTTTTTATTTTTCACGCTATAAAAAAAAAAAGGCCAAAAAATTTTGAAGAAAAACAATTATTTTTTACTTTCTGCTATAAAAAAATATATAGTAAACTCAAAGTTGGTTTTAAATTTTGGCCAAAATGTATTCTGCTCCATGTTTTTGGTAAAAAAAATCCCAATATCCCAACCGTATATTGATTGCTTTTGTGAAGTTATAGCGTCTACAATCTATGGTATAAATACTGCAATTTACGCCATTTTTCTGCTATACAGCGCTGCGCTAGTTTAACGGACAATTGCGCGGTCATGCAATACAGTACATAAATGAAATTTACATCTTTTTTGTTTTTAGCCCCACAAATTGAGCTTTCTTTTGGGGGTATTTGATCGCCTGTGCGGTTTTTATTTTTGCGCTATAAAAGAAAAGGCTGACAATTTTGAGGAAAAAAAAACAATATTTTGGACTTTTTGCTATATAAAACAATGTCCAGTAAAAAAAAATGCAAACATCAAATTTAGTCATAAATTTTCTGCCAAAATGCATTCTGCGACATGGTCTTTTGCTAAAAAAAAACCCAATAACGTGTAAATTAATTGGTTTACGTGAAAGTTATAGCGTTTACAAATGGCGGGAAAGATACTGGGATTTTTAATTTTTATTTATAACTAATAATGCGCCGATCAGCGACATATTGTGGCAAATCAGCGACATATGGCGGCGACCAGCGACTTATGGCGGGACTGCGGCGGACATTTTGACACTGGGGGGGGGAACTGACTTGGGGTCACTGACATCCCCCAGTGACACCAATACAGTGATCAGTGAAAAAAAACAACTGAAACTGTACTAATGTCACTGGGGAGGAAGGGGTTAACATTTTTAGAATTTGCTGTGTTAAGGGGAGTGTTTTACTAGGGGGCGGGGGTGTTGTACTGGATGGGGGGGAGGGAGGGGGGGAGCTGATCGAGGGAGAGAAACTCTTCTCTCCCTCTGCAGCTTGTCGGCAGGGCTGTGTGTAAACAATGCAGCCCTGCTCTGTGTCAGTGATTACCGCTCATCGCGGGAAAACGGCCGGTAAAAACCGGCCGTGACCCGGTGCGGAGACCCGCTGCTGACACCCGCGGGACAGGCAGGGCGGCGGCGCGCGCGCCTCGCGCGCACGGTTCCCCTACCTGTTTGAAAGGCAGCCGTTTTAAAACGTGCTTTTGCCTACGAGCACCGCCCTGCCACCGTTTATATATGCGGTGGCTGGGCGGCATGTAGTTAAAATACTTCATACCACGCATAAGAGACACTACACAATCCAGCACATGTCCAGTCTGTAATATGCACCTAGGTAGCTTACATACATTGCAATAATGTGTTTTCTAATCTATACCTGTGCTTCACATTGAATAAATAAATGAATCTAGTCTTAACAGCTAAACTTTTTCCTTCATATACAGTTTACTAATCAGTAATCAAAGCAGGAAGGATTCTGATTGTCCGTAAAAAAACGCTTTTGATCTTAACATGAAAAGACTTCACTTGTCATTACTGATTTTTAACATGAAATAAATTAGCAAATAAGTTACTAAAGTGTTTAACAAGTCGCCCTTATATCATTTCCACATAAATACCCCTTCAAGTCTAATTAACCATCAATAAATACATTCTTGTATAGTCAAATCACATTATTTTATTATCCTTAAGTAATGTAAACAATATACTCTGAAATGCTTAACCAGACTTATCCTGCATTATACAACCCCTTGTAGATGACCTAAGGTTTCTGCCTGTTGCATAAAACTAACATAGCTAAAAGACATTTGATGTGTAAAATAGACTTATCACTGGCCTGTCCAATAATGTTATGTATGGACATGCACGCTTGAGGGACCTTGGCTAATCCCCTGGCAGGATGCTGGCTTCATGGTGATCAAGACAACCCTTAAGTGTTGCAGAGCCTGGGAGGAAGGTGGTCAGTGTTGTGGTGGAAGATGGAGTGAGAGATTGGAGTGTGGAGCCTGGGAGGGGGCCAGGGAAGAAGAGCTACCTACAGGCAGGTGTTTGGAAAAAAAAAAAAAAAGGAATTGAGAGTCTCCACTGTACCACTGTCTTCCAGGAAAGACATCCCCAGGCAGCAAGGAAGAAGCCAGCCCAGCAAAAGGTCTGAAGGCAGCCACCAACCCACCAAGCTGACAGGAAGGACAGTGTGAGTACTCTTACTTCCCCTGGGGTGGATAAGGGGAGAGGGCAGTCAGGTGGGAAAACCCAACTAGCTCCTCATCTGGACTGCCTGGGCTAAAGCTAAGGTAGTAGCGGCTTCTGGGCCCCCTTGCCCAGGGAATACCGCAGCTGCAGCTGAGTGAGAGGAAGATGCATTTGGGGTCTGAGGAGGTACATCAGAGAGCCTGAAATGCTCCTAAAGGAGATTATTTTTGTCTAAAGTCTGTATATTAGTTGCTAAGGAGTTTTCATCCTCAAAGCTCACAGTTCCCTTGGGCATCCCATACATCCTTCAACCCCAATCCAAAATGTGAAATAAATTGTGTGTTTGCCTGGCTTTGCAGAGCTGTAGGGGGACCCAAAACTCAGCGACCCCTAATGGGGGGTAGTGCTACATACACTATATTGCCAAAAGTATTGGATGCTTTAATGGCATCCCAGTCTTAGTTCATAGGGTTTTCAATATTGAGTTGGCCCGCCCTTTACAGCTATAACAGCTTCGACTCTTCTGGAGAGCCTGTCTACAAGGTTTACGAGTGTGTCTATGGGAATTCCCTCTTAGATTGTAAGCTCCAAGGAGCAGAGCTGTCAGGGATCTCCTCGATCCCCGCCGCGATGGGCTCGGCGCAGGCGCACTGCTCCACCCAGTACACGGGCACTAGGTCCGGGCCGGCCGCGGCGTTCGAGTTCGCGCATGCGCAGTAGAAGCCGCGGCCGCCCGCTGGGCACCAATGGCAGCGCAGGGCGGGATATTTAAAGGTCCCTGAGCTGTCATTTCGTTGCCTTCTGGTCTTACCTGCTTCCTGTGTTCCTGTACCTGTGCCTAGTAAGTTATTGACCCGGATTGCCTTTGACCTTGCTGATTTCTCCTGCCCAGACCCCTGCTTGCCTGACCTCTCTCCCTGGATGCCCCTTATTGGATCTGACCTCCTGCTGCTGACCTGGCGTGTGACCCGATCGATTCTCTGCCTGCTCCCTTGTACCTTACCCGTCCTCTACAATACCGACTCG